TGAAAATATCCTTTATTCTAAAACTGCAAATGACATTTGGAAAGAGCTTGAGGTCAGATTTGGACAATGCAATGGTGCTCAACTTTACCAGTTACAAAAGGAGTTGAGTGATCTAGTACAAGGCACCTCTGATGTGGCAGGATATTATACAAAGGTGAAAAGGATTTGGGATGAGTTTGATACCTTGAATACTTGTGTGCATTGCACCTGTGAGTGTGATTGTGGAGGCAAGTCCAGAACTTTCAAATTCTTTCAAGATGGTAGGCTCATCCAATTTCTCATGGGGCTTAATGATGCCTACTCAGCTGTAAGGAGTAACATTCTAATGATTATTCCTCTTCCTAGTGTCAATCAAGCATACTCTCTTCTCATTCAAGATGAGAGGCAAAGGGAAATTTATGTTGCACTACACCCAGTCGAGACTGCTTTCCTGGTACAAAATCAGAAAATCACTTTTCAGAAATATACTACTGGAGAAGGAAAGTTCAAAACCACTTTTGAAGGAAAGATGCATAACCTGATATGCAACTATTGCAAGAAACCTGGACATTTCATTGACAAATGCTATAGAATCATTGGGTTTCCCTCAACTTTCAAGTTCACCAAATCCAAAAGGTATCAAGCACGTCCTCACAGCAATGCAGCAATCATGAATGAAGAAAACACAACCTAGTCAGTCAACATATTGGAGGGACATGCAGCAGACAAAGTCATCACTCAAGAGCAGCTAAATCAGATCTACCAGCTTCTTCAACAGGTGAAGGTTTGCCAATAGGGTGAGCAAATTTCTGATGCAAATACTAGTGCCAACTGTGCTGGTAAAACAATCACTGCTCCTAACCTATATTGTCTTTCCTGTTTCCCTTACATGAATTCTACCTCCTGGATAATAGATTCAGGGGCTTCAGAATATATGACTTTTGAATATTCCATTTTATTCAATGTGAAATATCTAACCAAATCTCTGTATGTTAATCTCCCAAATTCATACAAAGTTAAGGTCAGTCAAGTTGGTAGTGTACATGTTCTGCCAGATTTAACCCTACACAATGTGTTATATGTTCCATATTTCAGATTTAACCTAATTTCAGTTCACAAACTCACTCAACAACTCATATGTACCTTGCTTTTCTCATCTTTTGGTACATTCTTGCAGGGCCCTTCACTGAAGAGGCCAGTGATAATTGGTGAAGTGAAGGAAGGCCTATATCTACTTAATCCGGCTTCTCTAAGTTCTGGACTAGCTTATGGAAGTCCATCAGCTTTTCAGTCTTATCCAGCTTGTAATAACCTTAGGAAAGATCTTGTCTCACATTTAGTTTCTTGTTCTGCTAGAGTCAGTTCTAATGTAAGCCTATGACACAAAAGGTTGGGGCATATGCCTCTATCTAGTATGCAAAATATATCCAGTTTTCAGTTTTCTTCTCTAACCAAGTTTAATGTTCCTTGTGATATATGTTCTCAAGCTAGGCAGACAAAAATACCTTTCCATTCAAGCAATATCAACACAAGTTCAATTTTTCAACTTATTCATGTTGATACCTGGGGACCCTACAAGGTACCAACTCATGATAATTATATATACTTCTTGACCAGAGTAGATGGCTATAGTAGAGGAACTTGGACTTATCTTTTAAGAACAAAAAGCAATGCTTTTTCAGTCTTACAATCTTTCATAGCAATGGTGGAAAGGTAGTTTGCAAGAAAAGTTAAAATCATTCGTTCAAATAATGCCTTGGAATTAGGATCAGCATCCATTTTTTCAAAAAATTTCTCCTCTAATGGAATCCTTCATCAAACTTCTTGTGTTGCTACCCCACAACAAAATGGAGTGGTTGAACAAAAACACAAATATCTTCTAGAGACATGTAGGGCTCTATTATTTCAGTCTGCTCTCCCTACTATGTATTGGGGTGATTGTTTGTTAACTGCTACCTTTTTAATCAATAGATTTCCTTCTAGAGTGCTTAATTTCAAAACACCTTTTGAAGTCCTTTTTGGAAAATATCCAACTTATGATTTTTTAAAATATTTTGGTTGCCTATGTTATGCTTCTACTTTACCTCATCACAAATCAAAACTTCAATCTAGATCAGTCAAATGTGCATTTCTAGGATATCCCTTTGGAAAGAAAGGATACAAACTATTAGATCTTCAATCTAGAATAATTTACATTTCTAGAAATGTAATTTTTTATGAGGATATATTCCTTTTTTCTTCTCCTACACGTGAACCACTCATTTTCCCTAAAGAAGTTTCTACTATATCCGACCAAACTCACTATTTCCTCCAGACTAATCACCCTTCTTCTTCTTCAGAATTCAGTCTTATTTCTACTCTCCCTCCTTTAATAGCATCACCTAGAACAACTCCTATTTTATCTCCTTTCTCCAGGATCACTTCTTCTCTATCTCCTACTCCCCTTCAACCTGCACTAAGGAGATCCACTAGGGACCACAATCTACTATCTTATCTGGCATATTATGTGTGTAATGCTGTGTACTTGACTGCTCTAACAGATTTGTGTTTTGCAGCACCGGTCTCACCTACTACCATACCTTTCACAGACCTTTCTCCTACAAATCAATCACTTCTCACCTCTATTTCTCACATCATTGAACCTACAAACTTCTCCCAAGTAGCTTTACATCCCTGTTGGCAGGATGCAATGGCTACAGAACTTCAAGCCTTGGAGGCCAACCAAACTTGGGAAATAGTTGAATTACCAAAAGGAAAGAAACCTTTACCATGTAAATGGGTCTATAAGGTTAAGTATAGATCTGATGGTAGTATTGAAAGGTTCAAGACTCGACTAGTTATCCGAGGGGACATACAAAGGGAAGGAATCGATTACAATGAGACTTTCAGTCCAGTAGTCAAAATGACCACTGTTAGATGCATTTTAGCAGTCGCAGTCAAAATGAATTGGAAATTATTTCAATTAGATGTCAATAACGCATTTCTTAATGGTGATCTACAAGAAGAGGTATACATGAGATTTCCATCAGGAATAACTTCACCTTCCACTAACCATGTTTGCAGACTAAAAAAGTTCTTATATGGACTTAAACAGGCTTCACGTCAGTGGTACACAAGACTTACTGGTGCCCTCAATTTCAAAGGCTATTCCCATTCTCTTAACGACTATTCCTTATTTTTCAAAAAGACAGCTTCTGGAATTTCTATTGTTGCTATTTATGTAGATAACATACTTCTAATGGGTGATGATCTTACAGAGCTTTCTAGTCTAAAATCATTTCTTAATTCAGAATTCAAAGTTAAAGATCTTGGAGAGGCTAGTTATTTTCTCGGAAGGAAATATTACGAGAAAAACAGGGACTAATTATCAGTCAGAGAAAGTTCACCTTAGACCTTCTTTCTGAATTTGATGTCCTTGATTCACGTCCAGCTTCATCTCCTTTAAACCCTAGTTGCAAGCTTCGTGCCGATGTTGGTGAGCCTCTTCATGATCCAACAATCTACAGGCGACTATTAGGCAAGCTCAATTTTTTAACCCATACTCGCCCTGACCTCTCATTCGTCGTTCAGCATCTGAGCCAATATATATAAAGCCCGCGTCGACCTCATTTTGATGCTGCCTTATGATGTCTCCGATATTTGCTATCTTCACCGGGGCTTGTGCTCTTTATGAATTCAGACCCCTCTTTTCAATTGCTCACCTTTTGTGACTCGGATTGGGGGTCCTGTCCGGAGACACGTCGCTCAGTAAGTGGCTTTTACATCAACCTCGGAGGATCCCCTGTTTCATGGAAATCAAAGAAACAATCTTCACTCTCCCTATCTTCTGCAGAGGCCGAGTACCGATCTATGAAGAAGGTCGTTGCAGAACTCACATGGCTTGTACGCCTTCTCACAAATGTCTCAGTTCCCCTCTCTTTGCCAGTTTCTCTTCATTCTGATAGCCAGGCGGCTATTCACATAGCAAAAAACGAGTCTTCTACGAACGGACGAAGCACGTAAAAATTGATTGTCACTTCGTCCGTCAACAGTTCCTCGCCGGCTTGATCTCTTTATCGTTTGTTCCTTCGACATCTCAGCTCGCAGATATATTTACTAAACCCTTTTCTGGACCTCTACACCACTCAATCATTTCCAAGTTGGGTGTGCTTTCTCACCCCTCCAACTTGAGGGGGGGTGTTGGACCAGAATCTTCTTCACACAACTTAAACTCTAAAGTGGGGAAGAAGGAGGCGATACAGTCAAAGACGAAGAAAGAGAAAGAACCAAGTGGTCTGTCGAATGATCTAGAAAATAAAAGATCATACCCTATCATACATAGGCCTATCAAACACAACACACATTTGAGACAAATACACAAAATATAAATCAGCAACCCAATACAATTAAAGAACTGGGCTTATTACTGCAGTCCAAATCCAGTCCACTTCAATGTAGCATATTGGATATAGCTGAAAGACACTCAAACCTTCCAGAACTTTCTTATCCAAATATAAGTTACAACTAGAGTTATGGGCAAATACATGTGATTATGGACAAACATATAGGAATTAAAGACTTCTAATTAAATATAGTTGTAATTATTCTTTCTTATCTTTCAAATACTTGTATAAACATACACATTGTACCGAACATTAGCATATCAAGAAGAAAGAATCGTTCTAACTTTCTTCTAATTTTCTACAGCCCGATGGTAGGATAATTAAATGCCCAAGTAAAACCTGGACAAAATCCAAGTCTAAAGTTGACATTATACAATAGATGTAGAGTTTACAGAAATTTCCTTTTATATTTTAATTTGTTCTAAAGGATAATATATTATAGTAGTACAAAGTACCCTTTGTGTATGTCAGATATTATACGAAAAATCTCATATTTGTTGTCTTCTTCTCCCGTATAAAGATCTAATCAAATTACCCTCTTAAGCATTGTGATCCATTTTGGCTATCACTGTCAGCTTTTCAGCTGTAAATAAGTCTCTTGTCTTTTCAAAAACTCATTTCTCAGACCATATTTCGCCAGAAAACAAAAGGTCCTGAACAAGCTTTTCCTTTTTATCCCGTTTTGATTAAGTATGGGTGTAATCTAGTTAGTGGAACAGTTTACATTTCTGTTGGATTTTGCTTCTTTGAAAGTGGACTACAGAAAAAAAAAAAACTGGACTTTGTTTTCTCGCTTACGCATGGTCTGACATCTTTCTAACAATTTGTGTCTCATTTGTTGAATGAGATTGTTCCATTCTGTGTTAATCTGCTCAATTTGATTCAGTAGAAGGGAAGTGGAAGAAGCTTGTTAAAGTTTTAAGCAGTTGTCTTTGTCTAGTCATACAGTATTTGACTGGGAGGGATTCTATGGGGAAATTCAACTTGGGGTATCAGTTCATTCTCTGAGATTTTCTGTTGTTGGAAATTCCATCTAAGAGTTTGAATAATTTTCTGCTTTTGTTGCACTGCTAAAAGGACCAAAAGGTTGTTCAATGTTTTAATTTTATCCCTTCCGGATTCATCATTTTTGGATTGTTGTATGTTTTAAAACATTAGTTGGATTCTAATATTTCTGAGTCAGATTACACCCCTTCTTTATCTCAGCTGACATTATCCAACTTCTACTTAATATAACATATATAAAGAACATGAAATCTGATTGTAAATTTTTACCTTTCACTGCAGGGTGTAACGAAGCTTGAAATGGGGCATTTTTCTTCCATGTTTAATGGATTGGCAAGATCTCTATCATTGAAAAAAGGAAGGGAAAACTCCGGGAATGGGAATTACAATGGAACAGAGGCTGCAGAAGCTATGGCTAAAGGAGCCAAGAAAAATGATTTTATATTAAGGTCTTCAGGGACTGTCAATGTTGATGGTTCTAAGAATTTAGCTTCTGTCTTCTCTAAGAGAGGAGAAAAAGGAGTGAATCAAGATTGCGTCATTGTTTGGGAGGTATTCTTTCTTCCGCAGTTGGCCAATTTATGGTTTTTCTCTCATAAGTCTTCCTCTTTGTTCAATATTAGCTCATGGCAATGCCTTTTGATTCTTGCTCATGGCAGGAATTTGGATGCCAAGAAGACATGATATTCTGTGGAGTATTTGATGGGCATGGTCCATGGGGCCATTTCGTGGCGAAGTGTGTTCGAGATTCAATGCCATCATCTCTGCTTTCCAATTGGCAGGAAATTCTGTCCGAGGCTTCAACTGATTCAGATTTCGATTTGGATTCTGATAAATTCGATATTTGGAAGCATTCCTACACCAAGGCATGTGCTGCTGTAGATCACGAGCTGGAACAACATCCTAAGATTGATTCATTCTACAGTGGTACCACTTCTTTGACAATACTCAGACAGGTAATACCAGTAGTTCTTTTGATGATATTAGCCAGTCATGGCTTTTTTAAGAATAATTTTACCTTGTTCATAATTTCACCCAACATTCTTAGATTATTCTTCCTTATCCTTTTATGTAACCTGTTGATTCTAGCTAGCATCATATCTTCTGGAGTTGATTTTTCATCTACAGAAGTTGCTCAATCATCCAAGTTTTTGTTTTGCAGGGTGAGGCTCTTTTTATAGCGAATGTTGGCGACTCACGCGCTGTATTGGCCACCATGTCTGAAGATGGCAACTTGGTGCCAGTTCAGCTCACTAAGGATTTCAAGCCTAATCTACCTCGTAAGTCCTCCTCTATACTTTCTTTTTCTTTCTAGGTATCCCATACTTGAAATTTACTGGCCCTACTAATCCAGATTCGTACCGGATAGGCTCGGTTTAAAACACTCTCTACCAATAAATTCTCCTCTATATTGCTCTCTTTTCTGCTCTCTGATGTATTAAATACCAGATGATTCACTATGGCCTGTATGTTGATTACAGAGGAAGCTGAACGGATAAAGCAGTGCAATGGCAGAGTATTTTGCTTGGACGATGAACCTGGGGTGCACCGGTTATGGCTGCCTGAAGACGAATCCCCCGGATTGGCTATCTCTAGAGCTTTTGGAGACTACTGTGTTAAGGATTTCGGACTAACTTCTGTTCCTGACGTGATTGAAAGATATATCACAAGCAAAGATCAATTTGTTGTGCTGGCAACGGATGGGGTATGTCTGGCCTTAATCTTATGCTATGACAACGATGTATTCGTCACAGATAGTAGCATATTCCTTAAGTAGGGCCAAAGAGAAGTAGGTAGGATAGAAATTCTAAGCATAAATAGGCTGGCACTAATCAGTAATCATCCATGATGGCCACTTAATGCTCACTGGTGAAATGTAAACTGCATTAAAAGGTTAGATTAGTAGGATAAAAGTTATTGTACTAAATAAACTGTCTCTTGTATATGCTTCAAATTGTCTACCTTTTAACTGCATAAAATATTTCTTTGAATCTAACTAAATGTTAACTTTTATTCCTTTGTGCAGGTTTGGGATGTTATTTCCAACCAAGAGGCAGTACAAATTGTGTCATCGACCCCAGAGAGGGCAAAAGCCGCTAAACGTTTGGTGCAATCGGCTGGCTGTGCCTGGAGACACAAGAGGAGAGGAATAGCTATGGATGATATTTCAGCTATTGTACTCTTTTTTCATTCTTCTCCCTTGTGACAACAAATTCACCCTGTATCTACACCAGAATAGAACTTAGTGAAAAAGCAAGTTTGCTTCTCCTGCTCTCACCCTCATCATCCCCAGACCCCCACCACAATTAGATAGAGCTGAAAGGAACAAAAAAAACCAACTGTTATTGGACTAAAATGATAATGAAGCAATTTTGGAGCTAAAGAGAAGATCAAGACACCTGCTTCTGGAGGTAACCATAAACATTTATAAATGTCTGTATTGGAGGAAAGGGAACACAACAAAGTCCCAAGAAAATGACCGATTGGTTGAGGAATAAGAGCAACAACCTCTTTTGATCCCATCAGCTGCTCCTATCTTTGTGCGCAGATATGCTTGCCTTGTGGTTTATAGGATGTCTGATAAATTAATCTAAGTGTATGCTAGTTGGTCTAGATACCACCATCTTCGGAAAGCATGACTATGAAATCTGGATTAAACTTGGAAAGACGTCTTGAATCCCCTCATCTCAAATATGGACAGTTCTTAAGTCAATTTGCCTAAATGATACTAACTGTCATGATCAAGCAAGCCTTGCACTTCTTCTAAGTGGCCACTACCAAAAATTCACCGTCAAGTAAAGAGGAGCTGCAGTTGGAGGAATACTAATATCATGCTCTGGAAACATAGGCCTACGCCCCAGAAAATAAGCAAAGGTGAATGTTCACTATTTAAAGGAAACCAAAGGGCTGTCAACTGAGGTATCATATCATTCACTAGGAGTTGCCAGAGATTTGGAAAAAATGCTCTAGAAAGAAGAACGAACTTGTTCCTCTTAAACACAAGGTAAAGCACAAACCAACACTTGAATCCCTCAAGGAAATCTTCAAAAGTGGAAATTTCACAACCTAAATGTCACACTGTTGCAGCCAAACGCACACGCAAGTATACGCGATCGTCAAGTAATAAAGTGATAAGGTGAGTGTCGAACCCACGAGAACTTGTGATAAACTATTAACTAAATTAGACTATCCTAATTATATAAACAAGAGTTAAACCTAGAAGTATATGACTCTGATCTAATTAAACTTAAAAGAAAATAAATAATGAACTCTGAACAAAGGAAGTGTAGATTTTTATGTTATCAATGTAATGAAAACGATCCAGAGTTATGGGCTGTCTAACATTCCTATTGTATTCTTCAATTGAATTGACTAACTAATTCATCTAGTTTATTGGTTGACGGGGTTAATATTGTGCATAAGAATCTGTCGAGTTCTTACTCGCCTATTCAAGCTAACCTAACGCCTATATGTGTATGGAATTAGAACTAGCAAGAACGCATTTATAATTCCTTAACATCAACCAAGCAAGGCAATTAGGTATATATCTATACTAACCGCGAATCCGTTCCCTGATGCCCAGGTTCAAGAACTTGCTCTACTCAATCCTATGTGCAATCTAGAATTTTCACTTTCGAGTTCAATTCTAGATTCGTAGATAATATTGAATTGGTGATCAAACAATCAAATAATTAAGCGCGAGATTAAATAAATAAACCAATATAATAAATCAAGAAAGAAAAAATCAATATTCGAATAATAATAGTCATGAAAGAACCACAACCCTAGAACGTGAAGTTTAGCTCCACATAGACATATTAGCCAAATAACAAATCATACAAAGAAATATAAAAATTACTAAGTTGGCGGAAGAAGATGAAATACGGCCTCCACGACGGCTCTTTTCTCTCCCTCGGTCGAATCCCCTTCAAAAAGTGTGTTCGATGCCTTAAAAGAGGCGTTTTTGACTTATATATTGCATACAAAAGTCGTGGGCCAAAGTTTCCCTTTTCCTTTTCCGAATCAGCTTTAGGGATTGATGCTGGGGTGGATGCTTCGCGTCCACCTCAGCTTGAACTTATCAGCATCGAATACTGGGGTGGATGCTTCCGTCCACCCTCTGTTCATCCACCCTCTGTTCCCTCAACCTTGCTGTGCCCAGGCGCGGATGCTAAGGTGGATGCCTTCTCCCGACTTCACTGCTAAGGGTGAACCAACTAGCCTTTTTTGCAAGGTTGGATGTGACGCATCCACCCTCTTCTCATATAGCTAGAGCATCTTTTCTTCAAATTTTTGCACTCCAAACATCCTAAGTCATCACATACAACTTAATTAGTCATAAAACCAATAATTATCGCATGTTGGGTATTTTAAAGACCAAATAGCACCAAAAAACGGTTAAAACATGAATAAAACAACATTAAAACATATAAGAATATGCCCAACATCAACACACCCATTTGCAAAGTTTTACATTCACTTATTTTCTTATGTAGGTGATCTCCCCTTCACATTTGGCAGTTATTGTGATGGTTTAATTTAGACATCCATAATGGGTGGACCCAAGCCCCAAAAACTAACACAAAGAAAGACACTTGTTTTGTCTTGGTCTACCCATCAATATAGCAATGCATTTTTAAAGCACTTACTGGAATCCCTAAAACACCAAAACATATTAAATAACCTAGAGAATGTTACAAGTGCACAATCTTTCAAGTTGAGGCCTTTAGGTATTATACTCCCGTGGATCCAAAGCCGCCGGAGCCTCTCACAGTTGAGTCCAGATTATCGACCTCCTCAACCTCTGGTTTCACAATTATCTCAATGATGAGTTGTGCTATTCTATCACCAACCTTCACTTCAAAATCAACCTCTGCAGTCAGCATCTATAACACCACCTCCGACGTCTATGGACTGCTTCCATGTCAACCCTGATCGCGGTGCTATCACCATCAAAACCAATAATAATACCCAAAACTATTAGGCTTTTTCCCTCTAAATACCTTGAAAAGAACTAAAAAATATCATCTACAAGAAAGGCAGATTGTTGAATTTCTGCTTCCTCATTTATGATTTACTAGAATAATAAGTAGTTTAGTCAGTCTTTTTGTTTAAATTTAAATTTAGTTGGATAAGTAAGTTGTGATATTTTAGATTTTAAATTTTGAATATTTATTCTGCAAATTCTGCTTTCAAGTTGGCTATTTAAAGCCTCCTATGCTTAATAAAAAATTGAGAGACATTTTTAATCAATATTTTTAATATTCTTGTTGCCCCATCTTTTAAAAAATCAAACACAGATCAAGATTTAGAGCCATTAGATTGAGAATAGGTGCAGGTCAATATATATACACATATATACTCCACTTTGAAAATTTTCACCTATATATACCCCAATTGTGACACTCACTTTTGAGACGTTCTAAAATATGTGATGATGGTGTTCTAATCTCACTAATTTCGGTTAATCCTTTTGTATTATATAACATCCACTAAAAGAAAAAGTATTTCCTATTAAAAGTTTTTTCTTTTGGAAACTCAAATTTCACAGCATTCCTTGGTGAAAGTTAGGTGTATGATAGTATTTGCAAGTGATTTGTATATTTGGTGCGAGTTACCTTTCCTCCTATGAATATGACCCTAATAAGCACAAAGCCGAATTGTGTCTCGTGTCTCAAAGTTTGGCGATGACTTCAAGGAACTTGATTCATATTTACCTTTTCTTATCTTAGAAGCCTTGAGAGGGAGTGATAAATAGAAAATATATACTCCCTTTTTTCTAATTTATTTGAACCTACAGAGTTTAAGCAAAAAAGAAAATTTTTAAAATTTGTGGTCTAAAACAATGCATAAATATTTGTGTGACTATAATTAAGAATAAAAAGCGAATTTTAAAGTTAAATTGTCTTCAAATTTTTAAAAAATTCATTCTTTTTTAAACGGACTAAAAAATAAATAAGTTAATTCTTTTTTAATTCCATTACCTAAACATACTATATTTCCACTACTTTAGTTATTTGCTATGCAACATCGACGATACGACAATTCAAATCAAATAAACTCAACATAGCCTAATATGAGTGTGTCAACAGCTTACTAAACTAAGTTAGATATAAAGCTTAAGCATTTTATTTTCTTGCACTAGAAATATTAGGGGTTCTTATCGGGCAGATTGGGAGGATATTTACGCTAACAGTTTGGCATATCGCTTATCGGTTTATAAATATAATAATTCGCTAGTCAATCAATAAGATATCGAACGGATTTGTATCGAATTAATAATTATCGGGCGGTTTATCGAATTATCAATTAAGAAAAAATTTGGAGTAAAGCATCACATATGCTTTGTCTTTGCAATAATTCTGGACGAAGTAAATGAAGCCTTTTGTATTGAAAATTGAACTAGCTGAGTAGGTCTAGAAAATAGAAACCGAACCCCAATAATTTGGGCAACGAGATTACCAACCACCTTTAGCTTAAATCATATAGTACTTGTCTAAATGGAAGTAGCAGACTAGTCTGTCCCAACTAACTTAAATCCAATCCTACATCAAGGTCTACATCTGTTACTAGATCATGACCTTATTCCATATACCTTGGACCGACCAATAAATATTACTTAAAAAAATATACATAGAGGTAAAAGTATAAATATAAAAATTCTTAACGGGTTAACGATTTATCCGATAAGGAAATTGAGTAATCCGCCCCCAAACCGTTAAGCCGTTATGTATAAAATTTCAATCCGTTCACCTATCATTACCCTGATAATCTGATACCAGTAAGCCATAAGTTGTTTTCGCGGCTCGGTTAACGGTTACGGTTCGATTTTGAACGACCATAACTAGAATAGCACTTGGGCACGTTTGTAACAATGTTTGGAAGGAGAGGGAGTGGTAACAACTAACAGGGAGTACATACGAAATTGCATCAAGACCAAACCTAATATTCGCAACACCGTTTACTTTTTGTTCAAACTTCAGTAACAAAGTAGTATTAGCAAATTGCAATTAGCAACAATATATTTCGATTTGTTTCTCAAATGAGAAAAGGTAGCAACGGGAGAAAGCGATAGATGAGTAATGCATTTTTAACTCAAAATTTGAACAGGAACAAATCAAATAAAACCTTTACATAACAGCTCATAATTTCAAATACCTCCTTTTATTATCAGGAGTTTAAATTTTACATCAGTTATACCTGTGTGACTGTGTCCAGTCATGTAAAGATGGTTGCTATACTTCCCTCTCTCTTCTACTCTTTTTTTCTTTAGAACAATAATTCACTCCATTTCTTTCTGTTCTATCTTCAACAGTGTATGAAAGACGAGAAACCATATGTGTTCTCCCTTTTTTGTTCTGGAGTCCTTTCTCTTCTTTCCATCTCCTTTTTAACAGTGCAAACAAACTGCAAAGTATATGAGATTTGGTCACATTCATGAGATGGTCTAGATTGGTATTAGTATGGATACGGAAAAATCATTCTAGTATTAAATAGAATAGACATAGACAAGGGAAGAATAAACATAGATAGAAATAGATAGTGGAAGAATTAAGAAAAAAAAAAAAAAAACTTTGGCACCCTTGGATAAAGAATCGTATAATCTTATATATGTTTCTAATGCATGTGTGGATCAATATTTTAGATGACAAATCGATTCTAACATGGAACATTAAAGATACTTATTCCTTCTTTTTCCTTTTCTTTTCGTGTAAATGCTGCAGCAGGAATAACCAGCTGACGAACATCAGAAACACTGAGGTCCAACAATACTTCAACATCATAAACTTTTCATACAAACATCTTCTGAAATATATCTTTTGGTGTTCGATTGATGTAGCGAAAACATTCTTACATAAGCATCATGCTCATTCACCATGTCAATGTACTCCGTAAATCGCTTGCTTTTAAAAAATATGTTATCTGATTAAGCATCTGATTTTGACCTAAATCATTACTAGTTTAAAGTAGTCCAATCCATAAAATGTCATCCTCCAAATGCTAGACCACCATATGCAAACAAGAAAGAGAAGCAATTAGATACTAATAGGTTTTCTCCCTCGTCTTCATATCCAGGCCAAACTTGCAGCCGTAAAGCTGCATCATGGTTACTTAAAATATATTTGCTTAGTTCCGTTCTCAGGCTTGGTTAACTCATCATGCACTCCTAAATGATACTCGCGACTGAGCCATAGATAATATGAATGCAAAAAGGTGTCATGTAATAAACAGTCTTGTGTCCGTTCACACACATATGAAGCTAGTTGTAATTTACGGTAATGCTGTCTAAACATAGTACAATCTAATTATCAAAGCTGTCTAAACACAGTATAATCTAATTCTCTAACATGAATAACCAGAGTATCTACAAATAACAGTATCAACAGACATAGGCAGATCAAGAATTCTTGCGGCTGCATAAAAAAGATATATTTTTATACCTTTCCTTTAGCTATTTGTACACAAGTTACTAGTCCACATCCTAATTTGGAATGTCATTGACATGTTTCAAGATGATTCACCATTTAATTGAGTGACACGTGATTTTATAAAACTAACAATGAAAGTGTAAATTCGGTCAAGCTGAAACATATGTAAATCGAGAAACATACTTTGGTGAGAAATTTCGGAACAACGAATTTACCATACTCACTGCACTTGAGTGTATTCTCTTAGTTGAGGTTCCAGTTTCTACATTTGCAATGAACCTTGGCAAGAGCAGCCATGTAATCATCAGACCTATTAATGAATATTAATAAGAGGCTCTTCGTCATGCTTACATATATTTCTAAGACAAACAACAAGTATACTGAATTTGCATATATCTAGCTAAAACACCCTTCATCGAACCTTGATCCGTAAGCCGATTGACAAGCAGCAATTAAATGAACTTTAGCTGCATCTGGCTCATTCTGGAAATAAAAAAACAGCAAAATAGCTCATCATGTAAGCTGTTGGAGTTCCAGTATTCAAAGCTTAAGTAGAAAATCTGATAGTAATCTCTCCAACTCAGGCCATTCTTATGCAAATTTAACCATTGTAGATGTTTCAAAGATCTCCTTTACTGTGGGAAGAAACTAATCTTTATCCTAATTTAGTTCCATTGACAAGGAAAACAGTAAAACACAATAATTGTAATAAAGTAAATCACTATGCTAATATTCTTTCTTCTGTGACTACATAATTGCCATCATATGAAAATTAAGCAGTGCGTGACTATTGAACTTAGCCTGAAAGAATCACATGACCATACGCATGTGAGGCCACAGTGGAAGATGGTATTTCAGTTACTTTCATAAAGACTATCAAAAGCAACCGTTGCACTTTACGTCAATCAAAGTCACTACTCTACCTCAGTTTTGAGAACAAAATCATGGCATACACAATTTATTAAAAAAGTATCGGATATACAGGTTCATTCTCAGAGTAATGTGTGCATTGTGAAAGTAAGCAGGGGTCAAGATAAGCTAAATTACTTCCAGTTCCAAGAGCAATCTGGCAGAAGAATCACCATAGTAAATGTAGGGCCTAGAGATTAGTAAAAACCTGGGATTCGTAGTACAACCCAGCATACAGAGAAGCATAGAAATATTCATTTGGCTGTCCACTTGAAAATGCAGCAACAAGCTTCAGAATTAAGGAATAGTTTGTAGTTAGTGAAAATATTGACACCAATCAAAGCTGCAAATTAGAGGAAATACATATAGTGTAGATCATAGGAACAACTCATAGATATTTTAAAATAGAATGCTTCAAAGAAAGGAACTAGATTTAAGGGCAAGTTCTATAAAGCGATAGTTAGACCAGCCATGTTGTATGGAGCCAAGTGTTGGTCAGTCAAGAAATCTCATGTACAGAAGTTGAAAGTAGTGGAAATAAGGATGTTGAGATGGATGTGGGGGCATACCAGGAAAGACTAGATTATGAATGAATATATTAGGGACAAGGTGGGCATGGCTCCTGTGAAAAATAAGTTGCGGGAATCGAGGCTGAGATGGTTCGGACATGTGAAGAGGAGAGACTCTGATGCCCGGGTTAGGAGGTGTGAGAGGTTGACCATGGCGGGTCAGAGGAGGGGTAGAGGGAGGCCTAAGAAGTACTGGTGTGAGGTGATTAGGCAGGACATGACTCTACTTCAACTCACCGAGGACATGACCCTCGATAGGAGGGAGTGGAGGTCGAGAATTAGGGTTGTGGGTTGACAGACAGTCAAGAGTTTCGTCTAGTCTTTTCAGTAGTATTAGTACTAGCCTTGTATTTTCCTATTCTTAGCCCCTTGCTATTACACGGTGTGTCATTATTTCCAGTAGGATTGGCTCTATTCTTGTAGTGTCATATTCTTAGATCTTTGTTATTGTAAGTTGCACCATTTGCTTCCGTGTCTTATTAACTTGATGTTGCTATTGTCTGTTTATTGCTTCATTTTCACTATTCTTGAACCGAGGGTCTTTCGCAAACAACCTCTCTACCGTCATAAGGTAAGGGTAAGATCTACGTACATCTTACCCTCCCCAGACCCCAGTTATGGAATTTCACTGGGTTTGTTGTTGTTGTTGTTGTTGTGTTGCTTCAAAGAAAGGAACTGTCATAATTTAGTAACAATCACTATGCTCTCAGTTTAGGACATATTATAAGAAAGGTTGGACTGAAATAAATACGAATGTTTTGAAATAAATCTCGTCAAGAAACTCTTTCATAATTTAGTAAGAATCACCAGGCTCTCAGTTTAAGTTATATGAACAAGCAACTGAAGGAGTAGAGACAATCTCTAGTACAAGAACAAGAGAGTGAAGGTGAATGAAATAGAAACATATTGCCTACTTCGGTTAGTATTCGTTTATGATCAGGGTAAGAATTGAACAAGCACTAGAACAAACTAACTTGAAACTAATCAAAAGCTAAAATGAATTGCTTTATTCTGACAACAAAACCATATTCCATACATTTTCTGGGTCACCACCGTCTTTAAACATGTTATAAGCTTCTCGCATGACTGGTCGTGAATCTCTACCTACCTGCACACATCAGATAAGCTGTTGGAAGGTTCAAATTTTAGTTGTTGTAAGTAAATATACAAATAGAATCTAGAAAATGGCTACAATAAGATGCTTGATCAAATCATTCTACACATAACAGAATCTCAATAGAGTAAAAAATTCTCAATTTGGAAATATTAGTACAAACTAACTCTTAGAACATGACGAAGTTTCATTTAATAGCCATATTTGGGTATCAGTGCGTCAATCAAAAAACATCAATCCTCTATTAATAGGCAAAAAATGCAGAACAGAAGTTTGATAGTCTAGCTATGCAGACGAAGTCACTTACCTCAAGATATCTTTTTCTTGCTTCACCAACTCCATACAGTTGAGCTTCACAGAGGAAGCACCATATCGACTCCTCTGTGTCATTTGGATTCTGGGCAACATCTAAACGGAATTGTTCCGCACCCTCCTCATACCTAACCAGACGCAACCAGTTTAAGTTGTGCTTGTCTTTTTTCTTAATAAAGGCCCAAAAATTTAATACAAACTAGTATAAGATAAGTGGAAAAGTTATTACCTATCAAGATAATATAGAGACAACCCCCTTTGCCAAAGATCTGATTACCCAATGAAAGATAGCAGTCAATAAAAGTTAATGCCCATCCTTATTATAGCTTGCAGCAAAAACACAAATAAACTTTACATGGCTTTTATGAATAGACAATCTTCATTTGACTAGAGAAGAAAATGGAACTTTTCACCAACTCATAGTATCTAAAGGTCTGACCCAAATAACAATAATGGTAAAATTAGAGTCAAATCCACTTTACCCCTTAACCTTTAAGGGCTAGGAAACAATACTCCCTTCACGTTTTGAATGGGAAAGGGAACCCCTTCCCGTGAAACAATTTTTTTTAAATAAAATTCTTTTCTTTTTTCAATAGATAACTTTTAGAATAACTGATAATCGGCTTAATGTATGCATATTTTGATATATACCGCCTCACATTTTGCTCATGTCTCGACGATTTGAGATGTTTAATATGATTATTTGTGCTAAATTTAGGTATTTCTATGTGTAGGGATCATTCGGACACAATTTGGGGCGAAATGGAACGAATTGGAGCGAAATCGGGACAAAAAGGCAAAAAGTGAAATTTGAGGGCCACAACCAGCATGGGGCGCTGGCTGGGGCGCAATTTACAGCAGCCAAAATATTTGAGCGCCAGGGCCAGCGCCCCACGCTGACCTGGACGCTCAAGACGGAAAAGTGTCCTTTTTCGACTAGGACTCGGTTATTTCGACCCCTAGATGCCCCCAACTCATATAAAAGCCAACCTAAACCTATTTTAAAAGAAAGAGGATGTTTTGAGAGAAAAAACACAAGCACAAAGCCGCCGTGGAGGTCGAAATTCATCAAGTTCCATCTTTCTCTCACCAAACTTAGTAATTTTTATGTTTCTTTGTATGATTTATTGTTTGGCTACCATGTCTATGTGGAGCTAAACTTCTCGTTCTAGGGTTGTGGTTCTTTCATGACTATTGTTATTCGGATATTGATTTTGCCTTCTTGATTTATCATATTGGTTTATTTATTCAATCTTGCGCTTAATTATTTAATTGCTTGATCACCAATTGAATACTATCTACGAATCTAGAATTGAACTCGAAAGTGGGAATTCTAGATTGCATATAGGATTGAGTAGAGCAAGTTCTTGAACTCGGGCATCAGGGAACTGATTCGTGGCTAGGATAGACATATACCTAATTGCCTTACTTGGTTGATTTACAGCAATTATAAATGCGTTCTT